TAAACGGGTGGACAAATTGTTTCAGAACTCGGTCAAAAATTGATATTTTTCGATGATTCAAAGTTCATTACAATGGGAAAACCCATAGGTATCGATCCATGTGCCTTGAAGCCCGTTATTTCCTGTCAAGAACATTGAAAAAGGGGTAAAATTTGCGTTTTCCCACTATTTGGGACCACTTTATAGTGGTTCATTCATATTTTTTTCTTTTAATAGTTTTTTATCCCATTTTTGTTTTAAATGGGATCTTGAGATGTCTCGAATGATCCCAGAAATTTTTTTCCAGTATCTTTCTGGCGTTTTAAAACAAAATTGATTTGTTTATTTGCATTTTTCATACGTTTTCGGAGTTCTAGAAATCTTTGAAACAAGCAGTAATTAAAAACTCATATTTCATTATATTGTTATTCAATGCACACCATTTTAAAGCTTAGAGTGTCTACTTTTCGAATGTATTTTTTTTTAATAAAGTTGCTCCATTTTCCAGAAATCGGGAAAATTGATCACACCGGGGAAAACCGGACTTTTTTTTTAAATACTTCTTGTTCCCCGCTGTTCAGTTTTTGAACATTAATGCCCAGACCGAAGTGAAACTGATATTCTCACCTTTCCATTTCTATCAATTGATCCCCGTACGTGAGCGTGGTTCTTAACTGTTTGTTAGAATTATCTCTCCCATTTTTACGCTCTCCGCCTGAGATCCATGATATTCCATCATAACCTAACCACGTGTACCCACGCGTCACGCGCTCACCTTAATCGTCTGCTTTTGTTGGTATACAATCTCTGTTGTTTTTGGAGTCGTTATTGTCGGTTGTTATATATTTCTTTCGTATATTTAAAGAAAATTCACAATTCTGGGTTCGAGTAGTACAATAATAAACAATGATTACTTTTCTTTTCAATATTTAACACAAATGAGTTAAAGTGGAATATATATCGAAGATTTAGGGTTGAGGTAATTCTTTTGCTATATCTATCATATAATTATTTCTACTAATGTTATTTTTTTTTAGGTTAAAACAAACAAAATAAAAAGCCCTTTAGATACAGAGCTTTTAGCGGCACATTTAGAAGATTTGCTTTACAAAGTGAGTGTAAATTACCAGAAAAATTAATGAAATTAAGTGTAAAAGGGATCCGGGCCCCCGGAACTCTTGAAGATGATTTTTTGTCAGTGCAAGACAGGCTGCGAGAAGAATTGTTCATGTTTGAAAGCCGGATTGATATATGAAATAGGTGTCGAGACAGCAACACAGGGGTTGTAAAAACAGGGGGAAGGGACGCGTGGAGGAGGGGAAGGAATAGAGCAAGAGCAAGACGATGAAGAGTATGATTCTGATGACATTGAATGGTTTAACGTATGATAAATTATAAGCATTGCTATGTATTTCGTATTTTCAACATGTTTTTCATAATAAAAGAAAATTTTCAGAAACTTTCTTAGTTTTCTGAAACCCTGGAGCTATATTGTTCCGATAGAAGTTGGCGAAAATTTTGCAAAAGGCGCAGAAAATATAAAGGGTCTTCTCGGGTCAATATTCATCACACTCTAAAACTAGTAACCTACTATTAGGCAAAGCGCCGGTATTTGAGACTGCTACATGAAAAAAACTGTTTTTTGCACTTTTCTATTAAATTTTGCAACGAAAATTACACAGAACATTCGGCAATATAGATGAGATACCCCAAGCGCTACTTTACAGAAAAACTCCCGTAGAATCCGCCAATAATTGTCGAAAGATCGATTGGTGCCCGGATTTCCATTCATAGGCCCCATAATTTAGTGAGCCGCTGGCGCCATCTACAATTGGTCTCCAAAGTCCAAAACATGAAAATCAATGTATTCCCAACTCCCTCGAGCGGAAATTCAGTGAGAAACTAACATTTCTATTCAGTGCAAAAATTTGGGCTTTTTCAAAGACCGTTTTTGCAAAAAATATTCGTCTTGCGAAAAAATTTGTATATTTTGGCAGATATTAGCGCGAAACCATTTTGTCGGACTTTAGGGGCCATTTTGAGCCCTTTCCGACCCGGCAGTGTTGGTAAAAGTTTTTGCCCTTGAAAGCAACCGTCAAGACCTAAGAATTGAGCCACAAAGGAAATCTGGACCGACTTAATGACAGCTTTGCATATTTTCAGGTCTTCAGTTACTGAACTATATGTCTGCTAAAAGTAGTTAAAAACTCGATTATTTCGAAACAACAAATTTTCAGATAGGACCTTTCTTGCTAGGACGGCAGTATATGACTTCTCTGTTTTTGTATTTTTAGGGCTATGAGTATCGATACCGGTATCATGTAAAATACTTTGTGGTAGAGGCATCGATACTGTTCGATATTATGTTAAAGATTTTTTTAAAACGACCAACAACTCGCATTCAACAGGGCGAAGTGGGGAACTTAACTAAAAACAAGAGTTGCATCAGTAAAGTATATTCTGTAATTGACAGTTGTTAATGACACCCTTCCTTTCTCTACTGGTACTCTACATGATACTGGTATAAGTCATAGTGTCAATAACTGGCAATTTACCTTATAATTAAATTACAAAAAAAAAACAGTGGTACAGTTCATCAAATTTCTAGAGGCTTTCGACGGCTAGACAGAGAAAGCACTACTGACAGGCATCCTGACGGATTTACGCAATGAAAGTACACTCTGCGCATCAAGTATTTCACTATTTCATTCAGACGTAAATGTCAGATGTAAATTTCGCTAAAACATTTCTTTTATTTTCGTTTGTGTTTTTTGCTCATTACAGTTTAATAGAACCTAAGTATGGAGTTTAATAGCAAATTAAGAGGCCGCGTGATTAACAGTCAATCTCGCGAAATAATAGCCAATGTTATAGAGTTTATGAGAAGAGAAGGAAACTTTAATTCACCTTCAATACCATTTAAAAATGTAAATGATCGTGTTGCTGCAGCCACAGGAGTATCTAAAAACACTGTCGTCCGCATTTCTGGAGAGAAAAAAAGAATCGATAACCGTGAGATATCGGAATTTTCATCACCAAGAAAAACCATTAAAAAACCAAAAACAGTTAATGATATAGATGAAGCTGCACAAGAATCAAATTTTATTTTTTTATTATTAGATAGCTATTTTTGTTTCTGAGTTGTGTTCATTTACAGGCTCAATTTTTTTCCGTTTCTCCTTTTTGATTTTATATGGGGTTTCAAGTTGTTTTTGACTTATTTCGACGTAAATCACAACAACACACTTTTTTAATAAAGCAAACAAGTGTTAAGAGGTATATGTACGTGTAAACTACAATTACAAAAAATTGATATGAAACCCATGAAACCACCAACAAAAATGTAAAGCTAGCTTCCGTACTAGAACATGGTGTCATTCGTCGAGATAATTTATCGTTTTGTTTAATAGATCAAGAAATGTAAATATGCCCCTGTTATTTTTTATAAAATTATAAGAGAAATAAATTTTTTTCTAAATAGTATAGTTTATTATTTTGTAGAAAAACAAAATTTCGAAAATTTTAGTAATGTTTCAGAAACAACCGTTATTAATAACAGGTACCATTTTCCTTAATAAGGTAGAAATAAAATATAAACTATTTCCACGATTTACAAAGGCCTACAAAAAAATTATAGGTTATCCGCTATCCTATAAAATTTATATTTTCTGACTCAATTTCAAAAGGTTGAAGGAATTCCAAAACACCTTTTATGGCATAATAATTATTTTCAATTCTACATACTATCTTTAGCTGCTTTTAAAAACGTTCTAAGAAAGTCCAATCAGACCAATTTAATCCCTAAACTATTCCACACTTTTAAAATTTAATTACCTAAAAATATTAAAAACTATTTAAAATAACTTGTTTAGCAGACTGTACAATAGCTATCTTAGTCACACGTAGCGCGTTCTCTGTCTGGGCGTCGAACACCTCTAGAAATTTGATGAACTGTAATGCTTAATCATATTAAGGTGTGTTCCAAGTTCCACCACATGCGAAAATTATATTTCGGTACAAATCATGCGCTGTATGCAATTTTTAGATTGAGCGCATGATTTGGATGGTAATATTACGGTTTTCATGCATATTTGAACAAACCTTATATTATTCTAGGTGACCCTGACCACACTCACACATATAGCTTCTAAGTATTGATATTGCGATAGTATTGATAATTCAGAATCAATACCTAAATATCGATACTGTCATTGTTTAATATCGTTACTGCTATAGTATCAAGGCATCGATAAGATCCCTATTATTTTGTAAAATGTAGGCAGTCATTTAATTGTATCTTCTCGTTTACAATGATTTATTTTTTATTGTAGTTGGAAACTGAAATATTGCAATCTAAAACGACAGACAATAAATTTGAAAATATGTTTCTATTTTATTGAATAGAAGAAAAGAACTTACCAAACTTACTCAAACGTATAAATAGTTTACAAATTCTTTAAAATGTATTTACATAAGTACCACAAGAAAAAGTGATAAGTGACATTTTTTATGTTTTGTTAGTTTTGTTATGACTTATGACAAACGAATGGCTACGTTCGAAAATAATATGATGTTCACAGTACTTCTCGTGGATACTTTTTTAGCAAATTACTTTATTACGTTGTATTATCATAACAGGTAGGTTAAATACGTAAGTAACAAATAGAAGTTTTGCGAGGTTTTGATTTTCCTCAACAACTTCTCATGAACGTTGCATTTACGTTGTATAGTAATGTTATTACGTACCCTTACAACAACATCGCCGAAAGGCTTGACAACATTATGTGCTAGCTGGGTAGACACTGCTAATCTAGTCATTTTAAATTTTTTGTTTGTGTTTATCTCTATGAAATTATCAACACCAAATAGTACTTAATAACATTACTTCGAATACTACCAATGTTGCCATACCAAAAAATATTTGCTAAATTGATGGATGAGAATTGAAAACTGCTTTTACATTTACATTACAAAATCATATCCGATGAATAGTTTTCTCATTAAAGATTTTTTGATTACAGATTGTCGATCTGCAAAATCAAGACTAAACCACAAGGCATACATTTTAGAAAACACTCTGCAATTTGTAAGTTTTATAGACCATCATGTTTTTACAATTTAACTAAAATTTCTCACTACTCATTTTGTTAAATATTATAGTAAGCAATGATCATTACTAATTGTTCATCCCGTGTTTTAATCGTTCTCTTTGTTAGGATTTTTTTTTGTATTTTTAGTCATCAGTTTTCTTAAAATGTAAGAAAAGATGACATATTTTTTTCGAACTCATTAATATTTTGAAAATTATCCCGATATTGTGCACTATAATTTTTATTCTATACATGATTTCTCTAAAATATAGGTACCATAATGGAAAAATTTGAAGAAATTGTAAAATTTTAACTTTTCAGTATTTTCGTTGGCGGTTAATATATATAAAAAAATGTTTCTAATAAGATGTGGGTGGCAAATGTATGTATTTAGTTCATTCTCTAAACATTTAAAGGTGTAATAAATACAGTAGGTTCTACAAAATAACCGGAAAAAGCCAGTAATAACTAGATAAAAAAGTCCTGTGTTGGACATATCAGATTTTTAACCACATTTCAAATATTTTTTGTTTTTGAGTTAGATTTTTTTAAATATTTCAACCCCCCCCCCCTCCCCTTAAACCTCCTAGTTTAATTCAAATTTTATCATATCATTATAGGCTTCGACCCCTTATAGAGCTTGATTATCCGTTTTTCGTTTATGATTGTTTTTTAAATTTCATTTTGATATTATTTTTCGTTTTTCAGTTATTTTTTTTTTAACTAAGTTAGTGGCACTGGATATAAACCAACAGGCTAGTCAATTGTCAGGTGAACAAATAAAAATATCATATAACAAACTTTATTATTTTACAAATTATATTAAAGTTGTTCTACCTTAATAACTAAAAATAACCTGAACTTAATAAGGTTTAAATGTTTTGTTTATTTTTGTTTTTTTTATTTTTTTTTTTTTATTTTTGTTTTTTTTTTTGTTTTTTTTTTCTATTTTTCTCTTTTCTCTTGTCTTTATTTTTTTTTCTTTTCTTAACAATTTTTTCCAGTCAGGTGTACAAATTTTTTTATTGGTAGCATCGCTACTTACATGTTTTATTTCTATTTCCTAATAACAATTTTAATTTGAGTTTTGACGAAATTATAGAGTATGTTATATATACTGTCAAATGTCAGTAGATTTTTTAATTTATAGGTAACTGAATTTTGTTGTTAATTAGGTTTTGATATAATAAATTAATTTCTAAATCGTTTAGAATACAATCCAAAAATATATGTTGTAAATCAGCAATCTCATCACAAATACACAAATCATTATATATTATACCTATTCGCTTCATATATTGAGGGTATAATGATTAGTTCTAATTCTGCTAATCGTTTGGATTAGTGGTCTATTTGACAGCTTATCAAACCACGGTTTTACCCTTATATTAGGTTGAATAGATTTATAAAAATTACCTGATAGGGTATTTTAAAATTACTTATGTAATTAAGTTTTGTTGCAGTTTTAGCCAAAAAGTCTACTTTTTCATTATTAGGTATTCCCATATGGGCTTTGACCCAAGATATGTATATTCGTTTATCCTGATTTCTTGCCTCAAAATTTAGTTTTAAAATGTCCAGAATTATGTAATTAACTTTAGAATTGAAATTAACATTTTGAAACTTTTGAACTAAACTTTTGCAGTCTGTGAAAATGACAAAATTTAATTCCTCTTGATTTAGACGTAACGAAAAGGCGTCTCTAATTGCTTATATTTCTGCACTATAAACTGACATACAATTTGGCAAACGATTTAAAATTTAAATTTCTTTATTGGGATAATATAAAGCGTAACCTACTTGATTATTTAAGTGTAAAGTGTTTCATAATGTTTCCATTTTGTATTTAATTCTTCATAAAAATTTGGATTTTTTTTTTAATATTTCCACCCTGCTTAACCCCCATTTTTATTCAATTTTTTTTTCAAAATCAATAGGCTTCCAACCCTTATAGAGCTTTGATTATCCTGGAAATTTCAAGTTGATAACGTTTTTCGTTTTTGATTTAGGATTGTTTTTATTTTTTTTTGTAAACACCCCCTTTTTAATCAGATTTGTTTTAAAATTAAAAAGACTTGTGGATTCCTGACAATTTCAAATTTCGTTTTTGACTTATCGTACGGGTGGACATTTTAAAAAGTTCTTTAACATTTGATGAGAAGGATTTTGGTATAAACAATTTTAAATTTAGAATTAAAAATTTTGGTTTCTCGAAAGCAAACCTATAATACTCTTTACAGACTACTGTGTGAAGAGTAACAAACCAATATTATTTTAGCACTGAATCAAAAACAAATTTGTAATATTTACCATTTAGGCAAAACAGTGTAAGAACTGCATTTTTCTTAGACAATTGTTCCTATTTTTTTTTGTGACAACCGCATATTCAATATGATGTATAAATTGCATCACTACCAATTTCTGTGGGTGCTTTATTGTTCGTTGCTGAAACCCATTTAGCTTGAAAACATGCTGTAACCTACCTAATCGTATTCAAACTAATTTATCAAAAAAAAATGCAAAAATAATAAATTGTTCCAATAATTTGAAATTATTAGGCTAAGTACAAATGGTTACTAGATGTTCAAATTTTAGGGCTCACGGCTAGTCTAAGTGGAGGTGGGGTGGTTCGATCTCGGTTTAAAATAATAGTTAAATAATATAGGGCGCCAGTTAAATTGGCCTGAGCACCTACGAGTGTCCCTACTGATCACCAACTTAACAAATGATCAATATATACTTAACCTATGCATACTCATCTGTAAAAAAAATAATTATAATAATACCAACTAAATTCGCAAAGGTAATTTTATTAACAAAACCAAAAGTAAATTCATGAATAATGACAGTAAAGGTTAAATTATAGGAAAATATGCAATAAGACTATTAGCTTATTCTCAATAGCAATAATAATAAAAAAAAAACAAAAAAAATTAGCTAAAATAAATGCGGTAACTAAGGGTGCAAAATTACTAAATATATGGCAATAGTAAACGACCAGCAACATGCGAAATTTACGATAATGGCGTCGCTTGAGCTCAGGCACATGCGCTATATAGACATATAAAAAAAAAAATATTAAATGTAAGTACCGAACAGCAAAGCCTTAGTGTTTCGCTTACAAGGAATACCTAAACCTTTGGTAAGCCAATAAATAAACTACTAAAGCTAATCCCTAAATACCAAATTAAATAAATATATAGCAAGCGATAAGCAATAAGCAAAAAATAAATAAGAAAATATAGAAATAAATGTAATAAAAAAGTATATAGGAACTTGCGTGACTCGAACCGTGGTTGATTTTTCGACCCAGTCGAAACAGCTGATGAAAGCAGCACCAGAAGTAACCAAACCAAGCTATGGATGGCACCAACAATAATCCGTATACTTGTGCCCACAATCAACGGTACTCCTCGGCATTCTCCAAAGAACAACTCGAAAGTCCCACAAGTAATACTAAAAACCCTAAAAATAAATACCATATTAAAAAAATATACATACTATGAATATTTTAAAACGCAAGAATCAGTGAAGGTTTCCTTTCTGTTTAAAAATTAAAAAGAATAAAATTTACCCAACGTCATTCTTTAAAAAAAAGAAAATTGACAAAATAAAAATTATCACTGATTGCGTTTGCTATCAAGTATAAATATTAATCGATAAACCCATAGAAAATTAAATTATTTGGCAACAAAAATTTAAAACTCGATAATCTAGGCAAAAAAACATAATTGTGGTTAAAGCTAGAGGTGGGAACTAAAAATTAAAAAATATCAATATTCACGAGATAACCCAATGAAATAAAATTATATAAAGTAGCAAGTAGTAGTTACTTACCCTATTAAGGGGTTTTTGTAGCAAAATCTGACGATGGAGCAACGGTTAACTGCTAAGCCTTCTGTTATTTTCTTCTTTACAATAAGAAAAGGAAATGTAGAGAAATATTAACGTATGTTACTGGTAGCAAAATCTGACGATAATAAAAAGATTCACCTCCAAGACTTCTGTTCGTTCCTTTCTTACTAAAAGTAAAGGAGAACGTATATAAATATAAATATTTATTAAATTAACTGAAGTAACATATTAAATTTATTTGTAACGGTATCCAAAAGTGACCGCTATTGCAAAAAGGGAGGAAAATATATACAAATTAAATTATAATTATACTGTAAGGAAAACAGGAATATTTTTAAACACTAGTAATGAAAACTATAATATATAGACGTAAAATTACTTACCAAGAAACGACGAAGGTAGCACTTGAAAAACACTGAGCATGTGACCTTATTTTATCCTTTTTCAAGAAATGATTTTGGGACAATATCACAAAAATACCATAATCCAGATCACCAATATACTTCCCAAAATCGAAAAACAATTTCTAAATGGACTCCCTTTTAAGGATGACTTGGATAAGTCAGAATAATTTAGAAAATTGAACGAAGTCACTAACACCCAAGCTGCTGAACAAGTAACCAAAAGTGAGTACTTTAAGAGACTTATCGCGCAGATGCGTGAATTTTCCTGCCATGCAAGGCACAGTTCTACCGCAAACCATTAGATGGCCCTACTGTACATATATTAAAAATTACAAAATACTACAAATTAAATAATAATCATTACATACTATTAACCTTATTAACTATACTTACACGTAACTAGCACTTAACCCATGATTACTCTTTCACAGAGGTAATATTTAATAAAAAATAAAAGCCCAGCAACAACGAAATATGGCATGAACGTTTGGCAACACCGTAATCATATGGTCTTCGAAACGAAGAAGAAAAATGTGTTCAGAGTACAAAAATTCGGGCTTTATTAAAATAGAGATGGGACAAAATAAATTAAAATAATTCGATGCGTTTTTAAACCGCATTTGGAAGATAGTAACTAGGCGAATTAAAATCCAAGGCACCTTCAACTGCAACAGTCATCAATTATCTTAATTCTTGAAGTTCTGCACGAGCTGACAACTCTTACAACTTTCATTTCGACACGAGCGCCATTCACGAGCGCTATTCACGAGCGCCATTCCTTTAATTGGAGCTGTACTAAATTGATTTCCTCATGTTTTTCCATTTGAGTTGCTACCCTCTGGTTATAATGGAGTGCGTAATTCAGTCACTTGATTTTTAGAATACACTTCTACTAAATCATTAACATTTGGGAGGGGGAATTGTACCCCCAAATAACTGTGATTTCTTCTTCTGGATTCATAGTGGTTGCCCATGGATTAACTTCATCAACCGGTTCCTCTCGTTTTTCGAACTTTTTACAGTACAGGCTTTGTCTTTCTAAACAGGGTCGCCTGGAGAGAATGTCTGCGTTGCTACGGAGACGGCCTCTTCAATACTCTACTTCCTGGTTATTGCTAGAAAGCTGGCTAGGTGTGGGTGATTGGCTTCTCCGGGACACTTATCTGCTGTAATTGTTTCTTGTTGGACTTCGGGAGATTGATCTATGTGGCTTTCTTGCCTCATTCCCTGATTCTCAATTTATAGAACGAGTCCTGCTTCCATAGGTTCTTTGAAGGTGCCCGATTCTTCCGCAATTGAAGCATCTCCTGCTTTCATTTTGGCTGTTTTGTTGCATATTTTGCAGGATGTTTAAGATTTGTGAGAGAGTAGGATGTGAAATAGTATTAGTATGGGCCTCTTCACTTTCCTGGAATTTAATTTCCCTCACTTTTGCGCAAGAAGATCTGGATGAGTTTTAATGCTTCAGATTCCTGGGCTGCAATCAGTTTCTCCCTCGGCATCTTGTGGTGTTGTAGCCGAAGAGATTGCTGCATTTCTACATCGTGTAGTCCATCAATGAATGCCTGTATGCCGATTTGTTTTTTGAAATCTTTGGGCGCCTGTGGATAGGCTAGATGAATCAATCTTTTTATATCGGTAGTATATAGGTAGTGTTTTCAGCTTCATTGTTGCTTACTGAAGCTAGACAACGAATTCTTCTTTCTAACTCATCTAGTTCAGTTCTAATTTGCCTTTCCAACTTTACTCTAGCCGTTTCTTGTTGATTTAAATTATCTTTTCGTTGTGCTATGAGATCTATTTGACTGTTAAGCTAGCCTATCTCTTGCTTGAAGTTTTCTTGAATGTAGTAAGCCATTCATAATTTCCACCTCCGCGTTTCTATGCCTCTTCTCCTTCTCCTCTTCTCGCCTTTCCTTCTTCTCTTCTTCGTGCTTCCTGCGCCTTTCCTTTCTTCCTCTTTTCCCTTCCTACGCTTTTTCTTTTCCCCCTCTACTTCCTACATGCGCCTTTCCTTTTCCTCATCTGCCTACCTGTGCCTTTCCTTTTCCTCATCTTCCTACCTGCGCCTTTCCTTTTCCTTATCTTCCTACCTGTGCCTTTCCTTTTCCTCCTTCTCTTCTTCCTTCCTACGCCTTTCCTTTTCCTCCTTTTCTTCCTTCCTACGCCTTTCCTTTTTGAAGTATGCATATCTGTTTCTTATCCAGTGGATCTAGTATTTATCATGAATATGTTTAGGTAACTTTTATTTTAAATTCCACCGCTGTCACCAATATTACACTGGTTTTTAATAACTCAACCTTTTAGAACGTTCTCAAACTGTCCAGATGTTTCTTGACACGGAATGACATTTCTAGACTATCCTCTTCTTCTTTTTTTATTTAATCGTACGTTTCCTATAACAGCTGCAGGCTACTGGGTAACAATATGTTAAATATAAAAAATGGCCATGACTTTCCTTTTTGTTTGTGAGGTGCGGTGATTGAAATTAAATCTGTTTCTAGCTGAATCCCTAGATATTTACAATTTTGAATAACAAAGTCGAAATTATGGTTCTTTATGAAATAATAAAATATCCTTTTTGTTTTAGCTTCCAGGACTTCTAGAAAAAAACTCCTCAACGCTCAATATGGAAAAAAGAAAAGAGGAACTATTTGTTATTGTTGCGGTCAATTTTTCCTTAATAAGTCACAGTTTCTGTTTCATTTATTTATGATTCATTATTGGGGATCAAAAGTTGATGTGATTTGAGATTTAGAAATAGTGGGGTGGGTAAATTTATGAAAAAGGACGTTAATTTTAGGTCATGTAGCTTTTGAAAATTGATAAGGATTGAATGTCTGAAATGAATGACTATTGTCAACAGGGTTGGACATGTATGTTGAGAGCTTAGATAAAAGAAACCAACACCGGTGTTTAACCTGCGCAAATGTTGCCAATTTGTAAAGAAAGGTTAGCGGAGTGGGGGAACTGGACGGAGACACGAATTTTGTGACAGGGACGGCCTTTGTTTATTAGCATCATAATGAACTATTAGATTTACTTAAAAGATGTTTAATGGAATTTTGTATTATGAAATAAAATTAACGAGATTTTTTAATATCAAACAGATGTTATGACATTTTATGTATAGAGAAGACCTTTTATAGAATATTTCGTTAGCGTTTATTTACTACGGACTTTTCTGCAAGAGACTACAGTAAAATGTTGGAATTGAATATCGTTAATCGAGCAAGAAATGCTGTTTTATGTTGTAACCTCAGAAAAAGGTATATTAAAGCTTCTTTCTTTAGGAATATGAATTAATATAGAGGTAGAGTCACATAAAACTCTAGAAATTCATATGAATCCAGATAACATTTTAAAATTTAAATCTATTAAAAGTCATTTGGTTGCTAGGGGTGGATGATTATCTAAATAAATTATCGATCATTAAAAATAATCGATTATTTTCGATCAATCGATTATTTTTAATCTATTTTTTTTCGTATTTCCTTTAAAATGGATTATTCAATTATCTTTGAAATATAGAAAATAATCGATTATACGAAAATAATCGCTTATTCGATTAAACGAAAACCAATTAAGAAGCTGATTTAACGATAAATCGATTTTTCAAAAAAAAAAAAACCAAATTATCGATTATTTTCAACTAATCCTTTTTTATATTTCCTTTAAAATTGATTATTCGATTATCTTTGAAAAATCTAAAATAATCGATTAATGAAAAGCTGATTAACCGATAAATCGATAATTCTAAAGAAAAAGCCGAAATGTCGATTATACCAGGTCTTCAACAATACCCGAAACCCACGTGATCTGATAACCATCAAAAACCCATCGAAAGGGCCTGCTTTGACGTAAAAGGAACTAAACTGAACTGTCAATCCTGTCAGAAATGTCACTGGCGTTCATTTGGGGACTGACAATATTTATATTATATTTGTTTACATTTTATAAACACCCTTAGTCAATTTTTCATTTAATATTAATAAAGCAATTAGTTATTTTTAGAGAATATTGGTGGCTTAATTCTTTTTTGTTGGTAAGTACAAATTTATTTACTGTAACTCGTAAAAGTTAATGACTATATAATTTATTTTAGGTAATGTTATACTGGAACAAAATTATTTTATATTCGTAATTGTATTCGAAAATTTGAGGAACGTTTTCCAGGTGAATAAATGGAATGTGATTCTTTTTTGTCGTCATAAACAAATACTTGTTCAAAAAAAGGAAAAAGGTCTAAAATGCCCAAAGTAATAACAAAAGCTGTTGAAGATGTGCAAATTAACATGGTGTTAATTCCCAATAAATTAGTAAAAAAAACAGCACCTCAAACAGGTATGAACGGTGTTTTAAAGACTGACTCTGGCGAGTGAAATTCAAAACATATTTTTTTTAGGTTTATCACTACGAACTAGCCATAAAGTTAAAAAAAATTCTGATAATGCATCCCCTATAAAGTTTCGATACTGCAACAATCATTTTACCTTAATTTTGTTCAACCTACATATGGAATATTACAGATCGCTCAATTCAAAATCGTTTGTGACTTTTATGAATTGGAGTACCTATATTGAATGATATACAAAATATAACTGAAGATAAACTGCATAATGTGTTCAAAAAAGAAAGTTTAATGCTTGCATTAAAGCTGGTGGTAAAGATTTTGAACAGATAGGTACTGTGAATTAGTATCGTTTGTGCACCACCAATTACTACTCAATAACCTTTTAAATAAAATAGTTGTTTATAGATATGCCTTTATAATTTAAAGTGAGAAGTAAGAGCTTTGAAGTAAAACAAATATGTGCTTGTTACATTAATAATATTAATATTTTTTTGTATGCATATAAATAACAATGTTTTTTGTAAATGGTTTAAACCCTGTAACAAATAAATAATAGAACAAACTTAAATTATGTGTTTATTACTTCCCATTGTCCAGGTTCAATTCCAGTAAGTTTTAAATTTGTTTACTTAAACTGCAATAATTGCCATTGTCTTCTGCCTATCGTATTTAGAGTTTTAGCTGTAGCTAAATTATCTTAGGACCGATTCCACCGTTGTGTTAAACGAAGTTTAAAATGACATTTTTACATTAACAATGTCATTTTAATCTCGGTGGAATCGGCCCTTAAAGAGTCAATCTAAAGTAAATAATTTTTAATTTTATTCATATTTTAATGCATAACATTTTTATCCATAACTTTTTTGTCCCCTGTTCTAGTAAAGGTTTTTTTTTGTAGTAGTGACAATAACTAGTACGAACCATATTTCAGTTTATTATTCTTTTCGTTAAATACAAACTAGAGCTCAGTTTTTAAGGTTATGTTATTTATATCATAATTTTAAAAATTAGATTATTGAATTTGATTAAATCTAATTAAAATATCGAATTCTAACATTAAAAAACAATAATATAAAGCACCTCTAATTAATATTATGATTTTGTGTTGTAATTCTAACAGTTACCGAACTGAATTTTGTTCTCGTAGTTGCAGACCATAAAAAAAGAAGATCTACGGCACTGGCTCAAATTTAGGGATTTTTACTTTTATTTTCACCAATCGCTGTCATGACGATTTGGTCACGTGGGTTTTCGGTATTGTTGAAGACCCAGTATAAAATTACCGATTATATTCGATCATCCATTATTTTCGTATAATCTATTTTTTCGTGTTTCCTTTAAAATAAATTATTTGAATACCTTTGAAAAATCTATAATTATCGATTAATCGAAAATATTCGGTTAATGAAAATAATCGGTTAATTAAAAAAAGCCGATTAAACGATAAATCAATTTAAAAAAAAAATGATTATTTTCAATCAATCGAATATTTTGAATAAATCTACTTTTTGTATTTCCTTTCAAATCTTAAAAAACGAAAATAATTTATTGAAAATGTTCGATCAATCGAAAGTAATAGATTAATTATAACGGATAAATCGATTTTCATAAAAAATAACAGAATAATCGATAAATCGATTATTATTGTAACTTCTATCGGTCGCTTGCTTTTATCCGAGCATTTAGCTCCAAAAAAATAAACAAATGATCGTTTATTTTAAATAATCGATTATTTTCAAATAATCTATTTTTTTTTTCGTATTTCCATTGAAATTGTTCATTCGATTATTTTTGAAAAATCTAAAATAATCGATTAATAAAAAGCTGATTAACCGATAAATCGATAATTCTAAAGAAAAAACCGAAATATCGATTATATAAAATAACCGATTACATTCGATCAATCGATTATTTTCATATAATCTACTTTTTCGTGTTTCCTTTAAAACAAATTATTCGAATACCTTTAAAAAATCGAAAATATTCGGTTAATGAAAATAATAGATTAATTAAAAAAAGCCGAATAAACGATAAATCGATTTTTCTAAAAAAATCGATGATTTTCAATCAATCGATTATTTTGAATAAATCTACTTTTCGTATTTCCTTTAAAATCTTAAAAAACGAAAATAATTTATTGAAAATGTTCGATTATTAGAAAATAATCGATTAATTAGAAATAACAGAATAATCGATAAATCGATTATTTTTGTAACCCCTATCGGTCGCTTGCTTTTATACGAGCATTTAGCTCCAAAATTTAGAGATTCGGATTTTTTGATCAACTTTATCTTTGAAACCGCATTCGATTGTATAATAAATAATCCATTAATTAAAAAGGCAATTAACCGATAAATCAGTGTTAAAAAAAATTAACAAATTTTCGTTTATTTTAAATAATCGATTATTTTCAAATAATCTATTATAATAATGGTCCTTATCAATCTCCTGTTTTTGTGTAGGCAGGATTTATAATTGTTGCAATAAATTCCACATTGTGTATTAGAATGTCGTTGGTCTTCTCGAAAACATATTTTTATACAATATAAAGCAGATGGTATATATTTTTGAGATATTCTTTAAAATTAATTATTCATCGCGTCTTCGCCCTTCTATGATAGTTGATAGATACACTTTATTGTGGATCGCGCGCAATGATTTTAAAGCAAAAAACTGCTATACGGTCTGGCGATAAACCCATGTGTACATGGCTCAGTTTCATTTTATTGCGCTTCGCGTGTGTTATTATATTTAAGATTGTGCAAAAATCGTTTTAAAAAATGCCAAGATCAAAAGAAAAAAGAAAAGCTTTGGAAGATATTAAGGAATTAAAGAAGAAAATGGTACGTTTGGAAAAAGTATTAAGTAGTTCTGCCTCGGAAAGCACAGAATCTGAAGGTTAGTTATAAAAATTATAATTTTTTGTACCTTTTTTGCGTCTTTTTATAAAAATCGATAAAGGAAAATAACATAAAGGCATGGGTATAGTTTTTTGACTACAAAAGGCTCGCAGATTATTGTCTGTAGAGTAATGTGTTACGTGCACATTTTACCTTGGGAATATTTTACCCTAAAAAGATAAAGTTGTCTTCGAAAAAATGAATTTATTCGTAATAAGATAAATCACAATATTAATAATAGTTTTCAGTCATCTGTGTTCCGAAACCCTAAAAATAATAAATATAAATAACAATATCAATAAGATATTTAGGAACATAAAACTTACCAATAGATTTAATCACACCCTTATGTCTCGCTTTCATCGTCTGCATATATTTTACTAAGTGTAGTTTTAATTTTAAAAACAATACAAAATATAAATCGACATTAGATACCTCACGATGAGTAGAATGTTATTCCAACGAAATACTAAATTATAAATGTTTACCCTATTTAAATAATTTAGAGAAATTTAGTTAGGTAGTTTAGGGTAGATTTTCTTTAAAATCTTTATTGTGATTTTATATATGACTTGTTTATTTCTATCATGTCAAAGTCATTTTGTTGTCAATTTTCTTCTTTTTCAAATACTTCAAATTAATTAAAATAATTACATTAAGGTACAACAATCAGGATAATTTAAAATATCTTATCTGGACATGAACTGACCACTTTTTATAAATCTTTTTTTTATACTCATATCTGACCTTTTGAATAAAATGGCTTTTTGCTGAACCACCTGGGTTTAAGTTTTCGAATTTTCGGATTTATTTAGCCAGTATTTTCAACCCTCATCTTAATTCTTACAAGTAATGTTTCATTTAAGTTGAATCACATATTGTGGATTTTATTGCTTGTAAAAGAAAGGCCCCTCACATCTGTGGTAAGTTCAACCTGTCCATGCTTTCCTAAAAAAAATCAAGTATTAATAATGTTGTTTCCTTTTAGGCCTTTAAGTACTTATTTAAGTACTTATTTACGTACTTATTTAAGTACTTATTTACGTACTTATTTACGTTTTATGCATTTATTTATTCATTGAATATTTATTTGAACAAGATTATTTGAATCGAGAGATATGACCGATAGCTATTGAAGGTTCGGTATC